TAGACGACCAGATCAATCCGACATAAGTTGGAAAATACTACATAGAAATATAGCCTACCAAGAAGAACGCAAATGTATCGAAGCCTTTGAAATACATAACCGTAGCAAAAATATTATGAACGGTTGCATAGGTAGAACAATTAGTATTTAATTAACCAAACACTGCTTGACCGGACTCGTAGCTAATTGACATTTCAATAGATTTTATAATTTTTTTATTTTATTCATGAATTTTTAATAAACTAGCTTGTATATAATAGACGTATATATTGTAATAAGTAATATTCCACTGATGAAGCCTTGACCGGCGAAACGTCTGGAAAATAAAATATTTTTAACATCTTTTTATTCCAATTTTCTGCCTGAAGAAATTCTTTTTAACCTTTTCAAATATTCACCGGGCATGTTACCTACATGTTATATATATATATATATATATATATATATATGCCTTGACCACGACAAATCATTTGACACAGTGACACCAAGATCCATATTGAAAGGAACCCAATCCAACGACTCATCAATGGTGTACACTGCTTCTCTTATCAATGACTTCTTCCTGGAGATGTTCATTACCTTGCATTTAGACTTATTAAATGCCATTCCCCAGTCCAAACTCCACCTTTGCAAGCAGTCGAGGTCACGCTGAAGATTGTAACTGGAGGTTGAATCGAGAATGGGTTTGAACAGCTTGGAATCGTCAGCAATCAGAGCAATTGTTGAGTTATACTGAACGTAGTTAGGGACATCATTGACGTATAAAACAAACAACAATGGACCGAGTATAGAACCTTGTGGTACACCAGACGTGACAGGAAGCCAGTCAGAGAATGATCCGTCTAGAGCAACTCTTTGGTACCTATCTGTGAGGTAACTACCAAACCAAGAAAGAAGAGATCCGTTGATACCATGATGCTTTAGTTTGAGTAATAACAAGTTCTGAGGGACTTTATCAAAGGCTTTTGATAGGTCAAGATAGATTACATCAACTTCGTTACCGGATGCTACGGAGTCCAGGATATCTTGGTGTACTTCTAATAGTTGTGTTGTCGTTGATTTACCCTTGAGAAATCCATGTTGAAATTGATAGAAAGAAGGGGAGAGGTGATGATAACAGTGATTAAAAACGCAACGTTCCAACACTTTGGAGATAACACAAAGCAAAGAGATTGGTCTGTAGTTCGATGTTATGGTGGGATTATCTTTTTTAAAAACAGGGGTAATATTGGCGAACTTCCACTTAGCAGGTGCCACTCCAATAGAGAGAGACATATTGAAAAGAATACAAAGTGAAGGAGCAATCTCATCGGCGACCTTGGATAGAATTCTGCTCGGAATACCATCTGGTCCACACGCTTTATTGGGGTCTAAATTACGAAGCACCGCAGCAACTTCGTAGATTGTAAGATCAATATCAGAGAGTTTGTTACAAGAAGATTCCATTGAAGTAGAGAGCGTTGAAGGTGGATCTACGTTGCCAGGGCTAAAAACGGAGTGGAAAAATTTGTTGAATAAGTTTGCTTTGATGCGGCTGTCGGTCGTAAAGGATTGTCCATTTCGAATAAAATTTGGGCTCTGATTTGTTTTGGTCGAAGATTTCAGAAGTGACCAGAAACGTTTGGGATTTTAAAACATTGACTCTTTTAGTTTATTGGCGTGATCACATTTTTTCTTGGAGATAAGCTTTTTTGTTTCGCATCGGATTAACCTAAATTTCTCTAAGTCATCCGGGTGTTTTGTCCTTAGCAGCTTTTTTCTTTGCTTGTTTTTCTTTTTAATGAGCTCCAGCAACTCTTTATCTATCCAAGGGTGATCGTAGACGTTTCTTGAGGAACATTTAGGGATGTGATCATGAACGATTGAGAGAAACAGGTCATACCATTTTGAAAGGGAAGCATCAATGTCCTCTGGAACAAAGCATGCATCAAAGGGGGTATTTAATAGCACGTCCTTGAGACCAGTCCAGTTTAATAGCACGTCCTTGAGACCAGTTTTGAAGTTGAAAACCTCACGCTTGACTTTAGACTTTTTGTTGATTTTAAGGTCGAGTTCGAAACTAATAAGTTTATGATCAGTGTTCAGGATGTCTTCAAAACCTTGAACATTTATGACTTTATCTGGTAAATTGGTAAAAACTAAATCCAGGATGTTATCGGATCTAGTTGGAAAGTCAATGAGCTGATATAAGTAGTTGTCTTTAATAGTTTTAGTGAAATAGTTGTGAATACAGTCGTTGTTAGTAGCTGAACCAGTAGACCAATCAATATGTGGAAGGTTGAAGTCTCCGCAAACGACTAAGTGGTCAAACTTTGCTTTGATAGCAAGGTGAAGTGATTTCTTAAGTTCTTTTATGTGGTTTATGTCAGTGTTAGGCGGTCGGTAGAATGCAAGAAACAAAAACTTTTTCTTGGATTCAAGACGGATTTTGCAAGCTACAATTTCCGCATTTTCGCTCTCAAGATCTTTCCTTCGGATGCTAAGCATGGTGTTTCTGACAGCTAACATTACTCCACCCCCGCTCCTGCCAACTCTGTCTTGACGGTGAATAGCAAAGGTTTCCGGGTAAAAGTTCACAGTTTAAAATGTCGGGTTTAAGCCAGGTCTCCGTTACAGCGATTATGTCAATGTTAGATGCTAACGTTTGAAGTTCTTTGGTCTTATTAGATAAACTTCTGGCGTTAAAGTATAAACATCGGATATTATATCTAATTGTTCTACCGGTTTCGCCAACATATCTAATATTCCGCAATGTGAGCATGTGATCTCATAAATAACATTCTTTTTCAGACATTGTTTAGGTTTGATTCCTGATTTACATGTTTCGCAATCTTCCCGACAGCCCGCTGTATCTCTGGGTGGGGCAAATACTCGTGATGAAGGTTTGCCGTTCATAAAATGAATTTTGACGTTTTTGTTATATAGATTCTTGAAAACCAAGAAACCAGCTACTCTTATGCCTATACTGCCGTTGTCGTTCATAGTTGGTTACCAAGCAGATTTCGCTTATGGTGACAAAATAACACGTGTTCAAGGTAAGTTTGTAATACAGCAGTCATCATGCATGCATTCGTTCATAATCTGTTTTGGTCAAACTTATACAGTGTACCCAACTATACCACGCAAAAACGAATATGACAATTAAGTTAAACAAAATCTATAGCCTACATAGCCTACATGTAATATTATAAGTTAATCTTTTGACACAAGAAAAGATTGAAACTATGAAGCGTCATCACAGGAGGCCCAGGCTCGATTTGCCCGCGCCCGCCTGTGCCTTCCTAATAACGAGGGAAGGAAGGAGACATTGAGACCAAAATAGCCCAGACTTGGCATATGTCACACGAAACTATCCTCGATTTTTCGCTTTTAATGCATTTCTTTCACAATTAATCGATATCCCCTGCAAGAATGATACCGTATAACTCTCAAAACAACGATGCTTTAATCAAAGAGCTTAAATTCGCTCTGAAATCCGTGAGGGAATAACAAAATTCGGCCAAAATATATCCGCGTGCCGGGTTTGCTGTGCAAAAAGCGGAAGTCGTTGAACAACTCAAAATACACTCAACCCTGATTGGACAACGAATATCAACAAACATTTCAAATTTTTTTAACAGTACTGTAATAATTTCAATCATACTTAATTTCAATCATACAATCAAAACTATTCACAAACGTTATAAAGTGTAAATATTACTGCATGTAAATATAACTGTAGTACGTACGTTAATATGTATAATAAATTGTATTTCGCATTGTGTTTGTTAAAAAAATTTGAAATGTTTGTTGATATTCGTTGTCCAATCAGGGTTGAGTGTATTTTGAGTTGTTCAACGACTTCCGCTTTTTGCACGGCAAACCCGGCACGCGGATATATTTTGGCCGAATTTTGTTATTCCCTCACGGATTTCAGAGCGAATATAAGCTCTTTGATTAAAGCATCGTTGTTTTGAGAGTTATACGATATCATTCTTACAGGGGATATCGATTAATCGTGAAAGAAATGCATTAAAAGCGAAAAATCGAGGATAGTTTCGTGTGACATATGCCAAGTTTGGGCTATTTTGGTCTCAATGTCTCCGTCCTTCCCTCGTTATAAGGAAGGCACAAGCGGGCGCGGGCAAATCGAGCCTGGGCCTCCTGTGACAATACTCCTGAGTTTTCTCATTCATGCATTGATGTGTTGCGCTATTGGAATGAATTTTCTAAGATTCTCTGGTCAAATTCGAACATAGTATATTGTACTGGGTTCCAACACGATGCATACCATTTTGTGGTTCATGAGTTATAAACTATGATTAAATTTCGCCAAGATCTAGAGTAGATCGGATATTTTCCTACAAGTCTTCATATTTGACTAAGGTTGAGATAAATCAGATACTCTGTTAGTTCCACGATTGACGATGGGATGTGTATGAGATCTTTATACATATATACTGTTGATCAGTATATGCATGTTCTTTTCCCTTAAACCTATCGCGCTAAATCTGAGGAAATCGAACACTCAATAGACTTGCTCACCAATGCGTCCGGGTCATCTTTACTTTACACCGTATGACCCTGGTGTTGTGTTCGTTCTTAGCACTGCTCAGTTAGCAGTTAATAAATACAAAGTGGTGCATCTGGTCGAGGCAGTTTGCAGAACGCTTCGCACGATACTCAACATGACCAGGCCAATTCTTTCCGTCTGGTCGAAATATTTCGCACGGACATCGAGTTTAATTTTTACAATATGTATGTGCATGTGCGTTAATTTGGTGTGATATTTTTCAGTATGAATGATGTCCTTACGATACTCTGAGCGCGAGCATTGTTGTGGTAGTGATCCTTTTCACATGTATCCTTTACATGTGTATGTCGACTTACGAGATTCATCCGATTATTAATGCTGTCTTTGTTTATTGTTCAGTGGTACTTTTCGACTCGTTTTGCCATCCAATCACCTCATGGAGAGTTACAGTCCTGAAACCGAAGTTCCTTCACACATACTTCCCCCGGTTGATTTACTGGGTCAAGACGGTCGCCCCTCTACTGACGGTGTTTTGGTTGTTCTCCTCGTCTAAGTGGCTCACGTTAACAATTTACCATGGGAGTAGGCTTTCGAGTTTGATGTTCTACAGGTTGTGGAAGCAGCTCCCCATGGCCAGAGACGGCTACATGGGTCAATTATGGGGAGAACGCTAATGCCGTTGGTGGGGGCATGGCCGTCCGCCCACATATTGCAGAATTCAATCGTGAGTATTTCGTGGCGATTAGTTGGGTGATCCAATTATTTTATTATTCCTAATTCCTCATTCTTTTCGTCCGGTGGAACTACATAAATATTACGAACAATGGGAGATGATCGTAGGCGAGCGGCAGACTCCCCAGATCCGGGTGCACGCATTGGAGCCTTAGGACAGGTGAAAGTTCCTGCGCCCGACTTTACGTGCTGGAGACGCTAATGTGTTTGGAATTCACTGAAATTCTAACACCATTTTGTGCCTGTTGGCTGCCATCGAACGATATATAGCGAAGGCTATATATAGCCATCGAATTATCCGAAATCTTGAGTCATGTATTGGTCACGAAGGTATACCGTGCTGCATTATATTCCACTCGAGATGGTGCTACATGCAATGGGAGCGTCTGTTAAGTTGCCGTCCCATGATAAACCACAAGCAACGGCGGACTGGAATGATATTAATCAACTTATATATACGTGTTATTTGTGTGTATCCTGCTAGATCTTTGACCAGGTGCCCGCCTACAGATTCGGCTGCATGAACAGGATATAATTTGAGGTTTGGAGATAAGGTATGGGAGTAAGATAGAAAGAAGGATTGGGAGATTAGAAGGATTGGGAGACAAGTGTAAGAGACGAATCGGTGGGTGGGGTGGGATGAGTAACTGAGAACAAGTTGTGGTGACCCATATTTTCATCCCAATACCTTCATTGAACTGAACAGATGAGGCGAGTGTTGCTGAATAGATTACTATTCGTAATACTCGTAAAAGGAAATGTGGTATTATGCAATATATATGTAGATTAGGTATCAGGTGATATAGGCAATGTATAAAATGACCACACCTAGCAGAAATTGCACCATTTAGCGCGCATTCCGTCAGGAGACACAAATCTGACCGAAAGACAAAACAACCCAACCGCCCACCCAGAAATTCGTCCAGTTCGGGCGCTTCTGTTGCCGCGCAACCTTTCCACATCTGTTCAGACCCATATTTTCATCCCAATACCTTCATTGAACTGAACAATTGAGGCGAGTGTTGCTGAATAGATTACTATTTTTAATTTAACACACAATTCCAAACTTGAACTGGTAGAGTTACCATCAAAATGATTGGGGGGGGGCATTTGACCATCAATTTTCTGTTACATGGGGGGAATTTGAACAGCATTTTTGTCCTGGAAGTGCGAAATTCGACCATAAAATTTCAAAAAGTTCAAATGCCCAGGGGTATTCCGGGAGGGGAGGGGGATGTTAACAGTATAAATTGATTGGCACATTACATCTTTTAAAATTCAAAATTAAAATATGTTTTGGTTTGTAAAATGTGCTCCTCAACTATGGATATTTTTATACTTTATTTATAAAATAATTAAACTTTCAGATACAGGCATGGTGATTATGAGGTTGTTTAATATACAACAATACATACAAACCACTTTGAATTCTAAGAAAATACCACTTGTTTTTGGCAATTACACACCAAGGCCTGGCTAAATCTGAAATAAAATATCCGTAGATGCGCATTTTGTAATTCATGTAGCCCAGGGCCGGAACTACTGGGGCTGTGGAGGAGTGTAATACCCCTCAAGGAATAATGCATGAGTGTAATTGTGGAGAGGGTGCCCTAGGATTGCGGATCATGTTAAATATTAATTTAAGGAATTTTCTAGAAAATTGAGGTTGGAAAATGTCTGCAAAACTACATTCAAGCCCCCATTATATAGTGTTCGAAAATGTGTTTTTTTATCCCTCCAGGTCCTGATGTAGCCAAACATATTTGCAGGAAAATATAAAATGTGTTTATTTATGCTTTATATGTTACCACAGTCAGGGGCACACTTTAGGGTGGTGTGACCCCCTCTCAACATTTATGAATTTGGTTTGTCCGGTTTTGATCCAAAACAGATGATCATTTTGTGCATCCAATGCATGTGTCAAAAATAGATAAACAATTGGGTGCAAATTTTTTTAAATACACATGACAAAACCAGCATAATGCCTCAGTTTATTAAGGTGGCTCAATACAGTTTTTCAAAAAATGGAAAATTCACGATTTAGATGCGTATTTTAGGACAATTATTACTTGTTGATAAACAAAATGTACCTTACTTATATAAAATAACATCGAAACAGTTTGAATTTTTGTACAAAGGTTATGCAACTGCCGTTGCTATGACAACAATAACATTTCAAGATGGCGGATATTTTGATTTTAAAGTAATTTAACTCGTAAACGTCATTGGTAACCCCCAAATTTTATTTCAAAAAGTGGTTTCTCTTAGTACAATCAATTATTTTGACAATTTAAAAAAAATTCTGTGGAGCCGAAAATTTTTAAATTGCGTTAAGGGCTGTAAAGATGATAATTCATAATAACTTTTTTGGGGCTGCACAGCATTTTTTTTAAATTGTTAAAATAATTGATCATACTAAGAGAAATAATTTTTTTAAATAAAATTTGCGGGTAACCGATTTCGTTTATGAGTTAAATTACTTTAAAGCCAAAATATCCGCAATTTTGAAACGTCATTGTTGCCATAGCAACAGCAATTGCGTAACTTTTGTGCAAAAATTCAAACAATCTAAGGAGATGTTGTTTTATGTAAAGCACTTAACCTTAACAAGCTGGGCTTTTTGCCAGATTTTCAATGAAAACAAAGGTGAAAGTTTCTATTTTCAATGTATAGTTCCCTTATACCTACATATAATCATGAAAACGTATTTGTTTCATGTACTCTACAATCTTCAGAATTCTGTATATTCTGCCACTGATTGGAAAAATAGTTTTTATAGTGAATTTAGATATTATTTATCCAAGAGTACCTGTTGAGTAAATATTATAGTCCAAGACATTCAAAACTTCAAACATTTCCTTAGGGAGATAGCCTAACCCAGCAATAGATATTTTGCAATTAGGTGCTAACTTAGTAACTTGGTTGATTTCCAAACAAATTTGGATATAAAGATATATATTCTTTCTTTGGTATTGTAGGGTGGCTCAAAAGCCACTTAATACTTTACATTTCATTAGGCCACTCGCGACCATTACAGGAAATTCGGTCTTCTTACAAAGGACAGCCCCCCTCTTGCAAAAAAACTTTGGATATGTGCCCCCAGAATAGTTTTACAGAATTTGCACATGATCTAAGGGACGGACCATTATTTTTTTGGAGGGGGGATGGACATTTTGTCAACGCAAACAATTTTTTTTGGTGTTGTCATTGCAAACAATTTTTTTGCGCCTGCTTCTTTCTGCAAACAAGTTTTTTGTCCACTTGATCGCTGTGGATTTCATTATTAATCGATATATATAGTTTAATTTGTGCCTGATTACACTATCGCATGTGTAATCGAACAACATGTGGTGTTGCCAGAAGTATAAATTTAATATGTAACTGAGACATTTAATTTTTTAGGTTTACTGGTCAGGGCCTTTTTAAGGATTTTCCTGTAGGGAAGAGGGGCATTTTTTGAAAAGGGACACTTCCATGAGATAATATATTAGAGAGGGATAGAAATAGCTGAAGGCCACCGGATCTGGCGGCATATTTCCCCAGAAAATTTTTGAAATTTGAAGCTCAGAAATGCCATTTCCTGCAGTCTGAGCATTTAAATTTACTGTAAAATTTATGCTAAGTATACACACAAAAAATAAAAAAAATAAAAATTATTAACAATAATTTATCATTACTTAGTGGTGGAAAAAAGGAACAATTTAAATCGATTTTTTAAACAAGGACAAAGGATAATGCCTAAAACTTACTTTTTGTTTATTAATTTGTTATTTTTTGCTGGTTCGCGTGTATAAATTTAAGAAAAAGGGACTTTTCCGGGGGGGGGGATGTGATTTTGTGGGGGGGCATAAGGGTGTCATTAGCCTTTCCCTGGCTTGTATGTTAAAAAGGCCTCGATATTGGTCCTCTCATTATTTATCATGCTACACAATGTCTTACACCAGTACTTGACTACTTGTCCAATTACCTATTTTATACAAAATAAAAACAAAAAAAAGAACCCAAAAAATGACTGTATTTAATAGATTAATATTTAGAATCCATATGTAGATTGCGACATGTGTATGTATGGGTATATCAGTGAGTACTCTGTTCATTGCTATTAAACCTTAGTTGCAACTATCTTTTTCCTCTTCTCTATGGGTGCAAACAATTTATTTGCACATTTTTGTCTTTGCAAACAATTTTTTTAAGAATTTTCAATCCCCCGCCTCCAAAAAAATAATGGTCCGTCCCTAATAATGAGTTGCATGAATAGAATTTGAGTCAAGCCTGTCCTGTGCCCTGTACCAAGATTATCCAGTTTACAGACAACCCAGTTTATCACGCTGAGTGGTCACAACAGTGACAACACACTGAATACATGGCCAGGTAATACAGGACCTCTCCGAAATATCTGGCATGATAAAGTAAGATCCCTACAAGCAATAATTATTGCATGCTCAACTAAAAGCTGATCAATCTGTCATTATTAAATAGAATATTACGTAAACACATATATTTCCAATCCAACAAAAAGTCAGCTAAGGGCCTGTTTATATGAGAGGCGGGACGGGACGTTTGCTGGAACGGGACGATGAACGGGATCCCGGCATCTATATATTTCTATAATATTTTTGCGTTGTGTTTATATGGAAGCGGGACGATTTTCGTCTTGTACCGCCTAGGCGGGATCCCGGTTGTAGCAAGCGAGATCCCCCCTCAAGCGGGACGTTTTTTGCCATATAAATGCTCCATCCCGCCTACCGGGAAATATTATGTTGTCATTGCATAAATTAGTACTGTCACGTGACATCTGAACAGTAAAGTATTTCAACATGGCGTCCTGCAAATGAGCTGGTCAGTGTTCAGATATTGTCGATTCTAACACAACATCGGCAAGAAAAAAAAAGGGGGTTAGATTTTCTAATTACATGATCGAAAACCTACAATCTTGGAAAAAATATGTGTTAGACTTTTCGAAATATACACCCAAATTTGAAAACATATGATGAAAATGTGCGCATTTTTCAATTAAAGCAACTATTTTGCTTAAATCCCCCTCCCCCACAAACAATGTTGGTTCAGGTAAAGTGGATTTGCAACACATGTCACCTAAATACCAACATTGTATAAGGGGGGAGGGGGACAAAGTTTGAAAATTTAAGAAGTCTACTAATTTTTTTCCAGGATTGTCTCTAAATTAAGGTAAACCCTTAAAGGAAGGATATTAAATTTTTTAAACACATAAAATTTCCTATTCTCTTTTGTTGTTATCAAAGTCAAGTGGCACATATGTTAGTGGTAACAAACCCCCCAAAAAAATTCCGGGGGGGACTTGCGATGGTAGGATTTCAGAAAATAGGTGTATATTACTGCCCATACCATAGCTCGGGTTTTCTTGCAGTTTCGTTGAATTTGGACACGATTCTAGGTTTTTTCTGTGTTGGTGTAATGTACTCGGGTGAACATGATGCTTGCAATGTTACTCTGAGTGTATATGCACACCAAGTAAGCTTGAAAAATATGCCGGGCAACAGTGGGAATCGAACCTAAGACCTTTGGAATACTAGCCCAATGCTCTTCCAACTGAGCTGCGTGGTCAGGTCGGTTCAAGTATGTGATATTTCATGATTACTAAATTACATTGATATCGAAAGAACTAGATTCTGTTCCGAAATATCACCCACCCGAACCGACCTGACCGCGTAGCTCAGTTGGCAGAGCATTGGGCTAGTATTCCAAAGGTCATAGGTTCGATTCCCACCGTGGCTAGGCATATTTTTCAAATTTGCCCGGTGTCGATATGCACTCAGAGGCATCACAAGCATAACGATTCTAGATGTTTTGATACATTGGAATGTATAGTAAATTTAAAATTAGCTTCAACTTAGAGTCATGTAGGTTTAACACCCTTTTCAAAATGTTTACTTAGTGTTTGCTCGCGGAAAATAAGCGAACTTAATTTCTTAAAATACACATATCTGCTTGATTTCTTGAGTTCGTTTGGAATAAATAAACTAAGAGACATTTCTGCACGTTTATCGTATGGTTGTGTCTTACATTATGTTAGGATTGATTTATTTTTAAGGTTTTTAGTTCTCTATGCACATTTTCAACTATTATAGATTAGAACAAATCTCAATCTCTACATGTTACATCATGTTACATCATGTTACACTACATATTACACTAAAATTACTATACTGTACTATAGTTCTTGACATGTTACTACATGTTACACCTATATTTTTAAAAGGAACTATAGATTTTTTTAAAGGTAGGTGTAACATATTGTAACATGTGAGGATATATAATAAAATATAGACCTTTTAGTGTAACATGTACTGTAACATGTGGTGTAACATGGTGTAACATGTAGTGATTTTACTCAGACTGTACATTTATTAAATAATAGAAGATATTCGTTAAGAGGCAATCACGGGTACATGCGCTATAAAAGCATATTGAAACCATATTAAAAAATACTTTATAGGTACAATTCTGCACTATAAAATTTAAATGATTGACAAGTATGTGAAAAATGTGACGGTCATGAAACATTGTACAATGTAATAACCTATGTATGCCATATCTGTCCCTCCGATAGTTTTTTGTTACTAACTGCCATAATTTTTTGCCAATGCAGCCTTACTGGATAAAATAACCACAATTTTCGTTAAAGCAGGGGTCCTATATAAGCCCTCCCCCCCGTCTACCATCCCCCTGGCCTTCAAAAAGTTTAATCAAACCCTGAATTATGTTCCTAATATAGAGTCCATTCTAATTTGAAAATTACTTTTCGAAAACGACGGTACCATTAACTTGGTAAAATGATTATCCATTGTATTTTTTCAGACAGTCTCTAAATTAAGGTAAACCCTTAAAGGAAGGATATTAAATTTTTTAAACATATAAAATTTTCTGTTCTCTGACGTTGTTATCAAAGTCAAGTGGCACATATGTTAGTGGTAACAAACCCCCAAAAAAATTCCGGGGGGGACTTGCGATGGTAGGATTTCAGAAAATAGGTGTATATTACTGCCCATACCATAGCTCGGGTTTTCTTGCAGTTTCGTTGAATTTCGACACGATTCTGGTTTTTTTCTGTGTTGGTGTAATGTACTCAGGTGAACATGATGCTTGCAATGTTACTCTGAGTGTATATGCACACCTAGTAAGCTTGAAAAATATGCCGGGCAACAGTGGGAATCGAACCTAAGACCTTTGGAATACTAGCCCAATGCTCTTCCAACTGAGCTACGCGGTCAGGTCGGTTCGAGCATGTGATATTTCATGATTACTAAATTACATTGATATCGAAAGAACTAGATTCTGTTCCGAAATATCACCCACCCGAACCGACCTGACCGCGTAGCTCAGTTGGCAGAGCATTGGGCTAGTATTCCAAAGGTCATAGGTTCGATTCCCACCGTGGCTAGGCATATTTTTCAAATTTACCCGGTGTGGATATGCACTCAGAGGCATCACAAGCATAACGATTCTAGATGTTTTTATACATTGGAATGAATAGTAAATTTAAAATTAGCTTCAACTTAGAGTCATGTAGGTTTAACACCCTTTTCAAAATGTTTACTTAGTGTTTGCTCGCGGAAAATAAGCGAACTTAATTTCTTAAAATACACATATCTGCTTGATTTCTTGATTTCTTGATTTCAACTTTTGGTATTACGGGCTCTGCTCACAAGTGGTTTAATTCATACCTTACCAGGCGCAGCCAATTTGTTACGGTAAATGGAGCAACGTCAAAGACATTTGATTTGCAGTACGGGGTACCGCAAGGTTCATGTCTGGGTCCTCTGCTCTTTATTTTATACGCAAGCAGATTATTTGATATACTTGAAAGTCACCTCCCCAATTCTCACATGTAAGCAGATGACACACAACTCTACCTCGCATTTAAACCCGACGATGCCATGAATCAAATCACTGCCGTTACAGCAATGCAGAATGCTATTGATGACATTAAGAAATGGATGTTCGCTGACAAACTCAAATTAAATGATGGGAAGTCCGAGTTCATGATTATAGGCACAAGACAACAACTGGCCAAAGTCAGTGTTGACACCCTTCGAGTAGGCAACGTTCAACTAACACCACTTAGTGAAGCTCGCAATTCACACAACATTTAGTGAAGCTCGCAATCTGGGTTGCTGGTTTGACTCGCAACTTAGCATGGTGACTCATATATATAAAGTTTGCAAAGCTGCATTCTACCATCTATATAATCTGAGGAAAATTCGGAAATTTCTGGACAATGAAAGCATAAAGACTTTGGTCAAACGTTACAAATTACTTTGGCAGAACAGGTAACTCATTAGTGCAAAAATTACTCAAATAGTAATTAGTAAAGCGTTACCTTTGTAACAAGTATTTACAACACTGAATTCATACGATTGATAATACCCGATAACTTTTCTTATCAGATTTTTTCCGTCCTGCATTTTTAGGTCTGTGCTAACCTCCGACGACACGACTTCTCGATCAAAGTTAGGTTCCGTTAAACTTAATAGCCTTCTGCATATAGCCTATATAGGCGTAAAAAAATATGGAAGTATAGAAGAAACAGAATCGCATGTTAAAATTTTACCAGTATTAAATAAGCTTTCAACTGTCTTGCAGTCTGCCAGTCTTGGTGACCCAGTAGCCTTAATTCAGCCTGATTCGTTCTTTCGTTGTTGTTGTTGTTGTTGTTGCACCAACAACAGTGGTGACAAGTAACGAAGTAAATGCACTTCGTTACTTTACTTGAGTACTAATTTTGAGAAGTGAGCAAGTAACGAAGTAAATTTTTGACAGAGTACTTCTACTTGGAACGAAGTAAATTCAAAAAGTAACGTTTTACTTCGTTATTTTTATTTTGCGGTGAAGTATCCCGTTACTTTTATGGTATTATCAAATTTTAGTTCTATCTTTACCTGATTCGGTGATTTCTAAAATGAATTTCGATTTTTAAACTCGGCTCCAATCGCAATCAAATTTATAGTTATTTACACGAAGTACAGACAATTAATATATTCCGCTGAACACATGCGACAATACACGCGTTTCGCGCCAAATTATTGCGCCGAATTCACTGGCCCAATCATTGAACTCTATCCGAATTGCTTGGGCAGCCATGGCCGACAGTGATTTGCATATTGCAGACGAAGTCTTGAACGAAGGACATGGACTAGAAGGTGTTGATACTATCGGTAAAAAAGGAGAAGAGGAGGAACATCCTTGGCCATATTTGAAGTCAATGTTTCGCTACAATGGAAGAGTGGGAAGAGAGAACAAGAGCATCAAATTCATATGTTGCCTTTGCTCGCCACTTGTTAGAGAGATATCTGCGTTCATTTCGTCGCCTTCAAACCTAAGAAAACATGTACAGGTAAGCTGTTTTATGCCTTTGTCTGTTTGGTAATGGTAGGGTTCTAAAAACTTGAAATTGCCACCCGGGAATTCATCGGATGTAGTGTAGTGCAGTTGACAAATACATTTCTATACAAATAATCATGTAAAATATCTAAACATGTTCCTCACCGGAGGGTGCGGATAGATATTGGAATAGCCCAATGTGCGGTTACGTTAAATTTCAACGAAGTTTTAAGTTTTAAAAAGGAAACTAGGTTTGTGTTCAGGTCAATGTATGTATGTAATGTTTGTGTGTCATTGTGTGTGTTGGGGAGGGTGTGTGTGGAGGGGTGGAATATAAGCCCAGCTATAAAATTTAACTACCCTAAAACTCCGATTATAAGCCCTGGGCTTACATCAGTTTGTAAGTGTTTTTTTGATGAGCTTACACACAGGAAGGCGCTTATATTCGGGGGTGGTGCTTATACATGAACGACCAAGTATTTTTATTACTAATTATAGACCTGTATATTGGTTAAAAACTTATATAGTGGTTATAAACCTGTATATTTATTGTTAATTATATATCTGTTTAGTGGGCTTATATTGGAGGCGGGGCTTATATTAGGGGGGTGATTATTCTTGGAGTTGAACATTAGTAATGTGATGGGCTTATAGACGGGGGGCTTATATTCGGGAGAAGGCTTATAATCGGAGGTTTACGGTAATTGGTATAGAAGTGTTACAACTAGCTGTTCTCCTAGATGTGACAAATAAAATTTTAGAACTTATTTGAAATTTGTGTTTTAATGGTTTAATATTAATTCCCAAAAAGGCTATTTCAAGGTGTCCAAATTGTAAATATTTAATCATTGCTTTACTTTTGATGTACTTGGATTGCAGAGGCAACATCCACATCATCTGAAGCGCTACACAGAACTGACCAGTTTGAAAAAAAGGCAAAAAAGGGCTAGGGAGTCAGAGCCATGTACATCAAGTAACCCACCAGCAAAGCAGTTACGTGTTTATGAGTGTAAAACCAACACAGTGTCGCAAAAAAAAGTGGACAGGCTTATACTAAATTTCATCACTGAGGGCTTGCAGCCTTTCAGTATTGTTGGCTTGTCTGCATTCAAAGAACTGGTGACCAGCCTTTCCCCTGGAAAGACGGTAATGTGTCGTGAAACTGTGAAAAATCGTCTGAAAATTTGTGCTACAGACATGAAGCACCACCTTTGTGAAAACTTCGAGTCTGTCATGACTGTCGCAACAACCACAGATTGTTGGTCAGCCAGGGGGAAATCGTACATTGGTGTCACTGCCCATTGGATCAACGCAAATGACATGAAGAGAATTTCTGCAGCGTTAGCTTGTCAGCGGCGTAAAGGATCGCACACATTTGATGTCCTTGCAAGTGCCCTTGAAAACATCCACAATGACTATGGTATCGGAAACAAGATATGCAAGACCACCACAGACAATGGTTCTAATTTTATAAAGGCTTTCTCTTTATTTGGGACTGACAATGTCACAAACACTAATGAAATGGAGGTCAACAATGAGGATGACGAGGACGAGGTATCCGATGAATCAGATGATGTTATGTATCACAATATCACAAAGCATCTGGATGAAAACAGCGAACATGAAGATTACGACCTTCCCAGTCATTAGCGATGCGCTTGCCACACATTGCAGCTCATAGCAACAGGTGATGCAGACCAAGCTGAAGAAAATGCTACGTATAAGAAATTTTCTCGTTCAGCCTTCGCAAAGTGCCAGGCACTTTGGAATTTATCGTCACGATCAGTGCTTGCAGCTGAGGCTGTCCAATCGAAGTGTGGCATAGCATTGACCAAACCAAATAAAACGCGGTGGAATTCGGTTTACCGGGCAGTTGAACGACTGGTTCGAATCATTAAGGAAAAAGGAGAAGAATCTTTTCAGTCACTGTGTAATGAGTTGAAACTACCAAGGTAATAGTTTGATTGCTGCTTTTGAATTTTGGATAAGCAGTCATGTACATTTAGGTTAGTACAGTTCAGGTGTAGTAATAATAAAGATAAATTTTTGAACAATTGTTTTCAACATTTCGCTTTCTTCAAGAGTATTACAAGTCCATGCAGCCTTTTGCCCAGGCATTGGACATCCTGCAAGCTGAAGACAAAGCTTACATGGGTTACCTCCTTCCCGTACTGTACATGCTGCAAGACAAGCTAAAAAAGAAACGAGATGAAATGGATACTTGCGCTCCTCTAATTGATGCATTGCAAGCCGGAATTACTCGTCGCTTTTCAGCAGTAATGCAGGAACCAGAAATGGTCGCTGCTGCTATTCTCCATCCTAAATTCCGAAAAACGTGGACAAACGACACAACTGTTTTGGAGAAAGGTAATTAATATTTTTATTGCATACAAATCTTCCTCGGAAATGAGACCGTAAATTTCCTTGTCTATTTTAATTTTAGGCATGGTGTACATAAAGAGGAAATTAACCGAAATAGAATCTACGGAACGCACTACGTCAGTAGAGTCAGCTGGTAGTGCGTCGGATGAAGGGGATGACGATGCTTTCTTTTTCCCAGAAAAGAAGCAATCATCTTCTGGTCGTTCTGGACTACTACAGCTGGAGGAATACTTGTCTAGTCAGTCAACCGAGACATCTTCCATTACCACGTGGCCTCTCTTAAAAGATCTTTTCATCAAAACAAACACAGCTCTGCCTGCTAGTGCAGCGTGTGAGCGTTTGTTCAGTGCAGCAGGTCGTATTTTTACCCCATTGAGGTCACGTATCGGAGACCAGAACTTTGAAAATCAACTTTTATTGAAACTGAATAAGTCTTTCCTTCAAAATCAGCCATAGACTTGCCATAAAACATAGTGCACTCAGTGAAACTCTGATGACTAATAATTCGTTGATATTGTCAGAACTAGGAAAAACGTCCATGTTTTGTAAATAAAACTATAATATATACTGGCTATGTTGTAATTGCTGTGTGTGATCTCTCATTAGAAAAACGTATTTGCGTGTCATTGGTATTAAATTGCAACTTTGAAATCCCTTGTAGCCGTAGACACCCATCATAATCCCCCAGTGGTGCTTAATTAAAATTTAATAAAAAATTGAAAATCCCAAGAGGCCTGAAGGTAAAATTGCGGTATGTAACTATCGTATTGTTGGTGGTCTATTAGTCTAATCCAGAGTATAATTCCTCGATATACTCTATACAGTACTTGTACTTTTTACTTGTACTTAAGTATTTTTGAAAAATACTTTGTACTTTTTACTCAAGTACGTATTCTCTCCAATACTTTTTACATTTACTCAAGTCGTTTTAATGCGAATTACTTCTACTTTTACTCAAGTATAAAATCAAAGTAATTTAGGCACCACTGATATAGTTTAATGTATTGAGACGATATCAACATTGATTCATTTAGCTAATATTGATATAATCGCCAAAGCAAGTTCTATGGCTTTGTATGAGAGGAGAATAATTCCTCCTCTGCGTTTAATATTTATATTGTGCCTATCAATAGATTCCAGACAACCCTAAATATACATATTGCTGAATTCCCTGAATACATTCAGGATATATGATGCTTGTGATGTTACTCTGAGTGTATATCCACACCGGGCAAGCTTGAAAAATATGCCTGGCCTCAGTGGGAATCAAACCTACGACCTTTGGAATACTAGCCCAATGCTCTGCCAACTGAGCTACGCGTTCAGGTCGGTTCGAGTATCGGTATGTGATATTTCGGAACGGAATCTAGTTCCTTCAATATCAATGTAATCTAGTGATCATGACTTTTTCTGTGTTGGTGTAATGTACTCAGGTGAATATGATGCTTGTGATGTTTCTCTGAGTGTATATCCTGACCGCGTAGCGCAGTTGGCAGAGCATTGGGCTAGTATTCCAATTAAGGTCGTAGGTTCGCTTCCCACCATGGCCAGACATATTTTTCAAGCTTGTCCGGTGTGTATATACACTCAGAGCAACATCACAAGCATCATATTCACCTGAGTACTTTACACCAACACAGAAAAAGTCATCCAGGATATATGTTTTTCATAATTTTTTCTGTGTTGGTACCTACATTGGGCTAGTATTCCAAAGGTTGTAGGTTTGATTCCCACCGTGGCCAGGCATATAAATTTTTCAAGCTTGCTCGGTGTGGATATACACTCAGAGTAACGTCACAAACATCATGTTTCTCATAGTTATACCTCTGAGGAATTCCAAGCTCAAAAATTATATATGATCCCCTGATTGCCCTGAAGAAGTACTATGCAGACTTAAGTACTTTGGGTGGTGTATCTTCATATAAATAAATTCATGTTCACATACCGTAAAAACAATCGCTTTCAAAAGAAATCCATCTGGGCAGAGCACGAATATATGAATATACCCCCCCCCCCAATTATCGGTCTAGCTACGGCCCTGGTCAAGTTGTGTGTTTATATGGAACCGAGGTAGCCCAGATACCAGAGTTCATTGTACATAGTGTTGTACCAACAACCAAGTAGAATTTCATCCATGTTTACTTGAGACTTTTCAGGCAGGTCAGCTCAAAGCACCTGTCTTTATTGCTATATAAGAGCTGTTTACATTGCCCTCTGAAAATGTACCACCGTACGGAACAGATAAAATGACATTCTTACTGAGTGAATTTACCTGTGCTTGGACAAAGGTTTGAAATGACTATATACCGGATATCATATCCAGGCACAGGGCTGCCGACAGAATTTGCAGGGCCCTGGGCAAATCTTCTCTGGGGGCCCCATGACTAGACCTTAGCTAGACTGCATGTTGAGCTAGTCTGTAAGCGGCCCTCAATTTCAAAAATGCTCTCATCAATTTAAAGTGTTTATGCAACGAAATTTTCGACATCGTTTTTTTTCGCAAATCTAAAAGACCAAGGTGCCGTGAGTACTATGCAAAAAACAAAATTAAAATCCGACGTATAGAACTCATTTTATAACGTCTCAAAAATAACGATTTTGAGAGTACTTGCGAAAATTGATCGCGGCTGCGTGACGTCACAAGTAGGACGCAATAATCCGCAAAATGTAAATAAACATGGCGAGCAAAGGTGAATCTAGCCATCGCGGTGGCAAATATTGTGTCGCTGGCGGACCAAATAACGTGAGCTGTACGAATGGCCAACACACAAAAGAGATTTCAATCCATCATTTCCCAAACGCGACTAAAGAGCCTAAAAGACACGCCAAATGGGTTAAATTTGTTCGAAAACATCGACCGGGATGGATTCCTTCGGAGACGTCAATATTATGCGGCAGCCATTTCGAAGATTCGTGTTTCGAACAAAATAGAATTATTGCAGCTTCGCTGGGTATAAAGACAAGGTTAAATCGTGATGCAATGCCAACACTTGACAACGCAAACGAAGTCATGCAGATCGAGGAATCACTTTCAAATAGGAAACGTAGAAAGGTGAGAATTTAAATATATAAACTGAATATATTAATAAATTTATATCTGTTTGATACTCTGGTGTACAATAAACTGTAAACATGTTTGAGATTGCTATTTTCATGAATCCCGTTGTTTTGTTTTAGACTATGCGTGATATCACTCTTCAAGTAGGGGAACAAAGTACACTAGAGGAGAGTACGTCTTCAAAAGTGACCGAAATCGAGGACATCGCATATTCGTCAAATATACATGTATCTGAAAATACGCATGAGCCATTTTTGCCAAATGAGCCTGAATGCCATAATTGCACAAAATTAAAGGCGAAAGTTGTTAAGCTGCAGAAGAAAGTAAGCTACCTGACGAAGAGACGACAAGAACTAATCTCCAGAACTGAAAAGGTTAGAAACACTTTGTTTTGTTTTATTTACATTTAGAAACACCCCTTGCTTTGTTTACATTTAATTTGCTGCATATGTTTCTGGCAGGTAAATTTTCGATTTATATACAGTACAATAAAATAGATTATGTTCTGCATTGTTTAATCTACAGCGCAGAACAATTAATAACAAAACTCTATTAAGATATTATACCTAGGAGTTGTGGCAGGTTATGATTATTATAGAACAATCAAATTTAACAACACATGCATGGCAAATCCATAAAGTGCTTATTTTATAGGTATTAGTAGCCAAATTGTTTGTAACATTTTAAATGTTTGTTATTTTCAGAATGTTGAAAATGATGAAGACGAAACTGATGTTTCAGACTCTGAAGTTTGTAGTGATACAAGGACAACTGATACTCTTGATTCCTTGGAAGAAATCGATGTTTCAGATGATGATGTTGATGATGTTGACTGGGAGATCAACTTGGAAGATGATGTTGATTCTTCAGCAAGTGATGATGAGAACAACACTGTGCCTAAAAATCTTGTGAGGTAAATACCCAACTATACCTTATGGCTGGCTTGTCTATAATTAAAGATAAGGTCAAGTCCGTTCTGCGCATGTGCTATTGTGTGGGTCCCCACATGTAAGCATTGCCCATATTTTGCAATATTTTACATATTTTCAATTTGAATTGTCATTCATATTGATTTAAAAGCCCAACCAATCAGAATGATGTCAGATATTAACTAAGTACAGTACAACCTGTTTTTAAGAATAAAGTGTTCTCAAAGTGTAAACAAATCATGAAATCACATTTGTTTACATACGAACTTGACATTGCCTTTAATTAAAACCAAATAAATTCCAGTTGTATGCGAATACACTTGTCACTTGTGATTGGTAATACAGAATATTCTTGCATTATTTATCAATATTCAATAGTGATCATTTCAATGAGAATTTATTTAAAAATATTTTCTGTAGGATTTCAGAAGGAACAAAACCTGGTGATGAGCCCAAATTTGTGATCTTTTACAATATGTTGGTAGCCATATTCCAGCATTTTTGTTTCCATTGCAAATGGGACAAACCTTCAGTGGAAGTACACAGAATAGGGACAATGGCAAGTGTGACCCAAAAATGCAACCATTGTGGGAAAGTTTACTGTTGGAAAAGCCAGCCATCAATGTTTACAAAGCATCCTGCTGGAAATATTATGTTGAGCTTTGGCATAATGGCATCAGGAGCA